TGAAAAGTTAAAATCATGTTTATCACAGGTCACATTATTGTGCTGTGGTTTAATAGATAAATAAATCTGGGATATCAAATGGGGAAATCTTTATGAATGGATACGAAACATGAATTCAATATGACTCCGTGAAAATCTTCTAGTTTTTAACAGGAGCGTGTTTGTGTGTTTCAGGACGTCTCTGCAGCCGACGGCCGGATGTTCATCTCTGAACGCTGCGCTCTACCTGCGGACAGGTACTCAAACATGTGACCAAGCAGCAGGTTTCACATCCTGGGTTTAAAATGAGACAGAGCACAGCCGGTGGAAGGAGAGAACGAAAGTGAGGAAGAGTCAAAGAAGGAAGGACGAAGGAAGTGAAAAGAGGGAGAACAAGAAAGGAAAGGAAAAGAAATTGAAGAAAGGACAGATGAGAGAAAGAGGGAGGGAGATGAGGGGAATGAACAAGGGATGATGGATTGAGGTAGAAGTGAGGAAGAGTCTTCTCCAAATGGTTTTAAATAAAACTCCAGGCAAGCTCGTGGAGAGAGAGAGAGAGAGAGGGAGGGAGGACTGGTTGGTATGAAGGGAGGAGAAGATGAAGGACGAGGCAGTATGAGGGAGGTGAAAAATGATGGAGTGAGGGGGAGGAAGATAGGAAATGAGACAAAAGGAGTGTTGGGGTTGGATCCAGGGGCTTAAGAGTTTAGAGGAGGGAGGAAGAGGAGGAGTGACGAAGAGGAGGAGGAGACACTGAGGAATTTAAGGAAGATGGAAAAATAAACGAAACACCAAACACTGCCCAGAGATGGATGTTTGTTCTGAAGATGTGAAGGTCAAAGGTCACCGCAGGAATCTGAGTGTTTACACTGATCGTCTGAACTCAACCAGGAAGCTGCTGAACACCGACGTTAAAAACCGCGACACGCTCTGAGCAAACAGGAAGTTAATAATGAATCCAACTCATTCAACACTCTGTAACTTCTGCTTTCTTTCAGACCTGCAGACGTCCACGCATCAGAGGGTCTCATCTGTCCTCAACCATCCCAGGACAGACTGAACGGCCCCCCGCCTGCAGCACCGTCTCAAGGTCCCTCACACTTTTAAATGTCTCCATAGAGCTTGTCCCAAAGTCCTAGAGTCTCAGCATTAAAAAAAACTTTCAGGGATTCGTCTCTGACCCACAATGCATCATAATTCATCCAATAGTTTTTGCATAATCTTGCTTACAAACAACAAACCAATGGATGGGGGTGAAAACATCACCTCCATAATTAGCTCTATGGCCTCGGACTAATCGAATCATTGGTTCGTGATAATTCTCTGAAGTCTGTCTCTGACTCTTTATGTTTTGATTCGCAGACCCAGGCTCCTCCTCCTCATACACTCCTGTCACCCGTAGAGAGCGTCAGAGGAACACCGAGCGCCAACGGGCCCACAGCACCTCCACCCTGGCGGCCTCTGTCGGCCTGCCCTGCCCCTTCTTCTCTCCCGAGCCTCAGGATGGAGGCGGCACCGAGTGGCAACCCAACGAGAGTTTGAGCCTAGTTAACCTGGACGCCATCGCCTACCCGGGCATCCCGCCCACCAGCACCAGCGCCGTGGGTGCTGTCACTAACACGACCGGGCTCGATGAAACCCTGGTGACGGACGGACAGACAAGACGCCGTCTGAGTGACGCCAGCATTCTAGAGGACAGTGAGCAGGACATCCACAGAGGACGAGCGCACAGCTTAGAGATGGGGGAGGGGCATTCTTCAGAAAACACAAAACATCTTTTACCAGTGATGCCAACACCCCTGTCCCAGCTCTCGGCCCCACCCAACAAGAAGGACAGCGAGAACAATTTGCTGTCTCCTTCCCCGACTTTCTATCCGTCCATGCGCCACCTGTCCTCACTGAGAATCTCAGAGTCCAGCCTGTTGAGCCCCTACGAGCAGCCGCATCCGTTAGAATCCTCCCGAGGACGCTCACAGGAGGACTATGACGAGGTCTTCCTCCAAAACCCTCCCCCTCCCTCACCTCCTCCACCAATCAGAGAGACAAGCATCGTGGAGGACTTCCCGCCTCCCCCACCTCCTGTCGACCTGGAGCAGGAAACTGAACTCCAGTCTGTGGGAAGGTTTGTCGTCTGTGATTTGAACCTTTTTGATTTGATTCTTATTCAATGTCTCTTCCATGAGTCCAGTACTAATTCAGAACTTTCCACCAAAAGGTTGTCCCCTCCTCCACCTCCAATGCCCCCCTCCTCCGCTGTCCTCCCTCCACCTGTGCTCTCCACCGTCACCCCCATCAACACCTATACCACAACCCAGGACAGCCTCAGTCTGGAGTACCAGCCCCTCCCTGAGAGACAAAAGACACCAGAGGAGCAGCGAGTGGAGGCGCTGGCCCAGAAGTTGGTTGGTACCTCACTCTACCTCTGTCCTAGTTCAAACTATACTTCTGTCCCTAGTTACAACTCCGTCTTTGTCCTCTTATCTAGTTTGGTCTTAACTCTTCCATTTTCATTGTGCCCAGGTGTTGCTGGACAGCTCTCTGGCGCCCCTCCTGGACACGTGGGGAGCTAAATCCACGGTTGAGATTATGAAGGAAATCTTTCCAAACAGCAGAACCGCTGATAAAAGTCACTGGCTGCACAGAGGCAGCCGTCAGATGGACGACAGGTACATTCTGACATCATGTGTTATTTCAGCCAGCTGATGTTTTTTAATCTGGAGAAACGAACCTCTGCTGTCTCTGCACGTTGAGGCTTTTAAAGTCAGCGACATTTAAACTGTGTTTTGTTTGTTGGTGAACATCGTGTTCGGAATGTTTCCTCAGGAGAGGACTCATCAGTCATCCACTAAAGATTTCAACAGAATCTTTCCATTAGAAATGTGTTGACTGATCATAGTGAAACGTCTGCAGCTCTTTCATGTGTAAGTCACACGTGTTTCTTGTTTCCAGAATAAATCCATCTAAAGTGTTTTTGGGGGATTTGGAAACGATGAAGCAAAGTTTCGTCTGAATGTAAATTCAGTTGAATCCTGTGCTTCACTGGAAGCAGGTTAGAAGGTGAAAGTGTGATTTCCTGTTAATGACATCATCAGTCAGGACCGACCAGACGAACCAGATCAACGGTTTCAATACGTTTCAGTGTCTAAAAGAAGCTGCAGCAGTTTCAGCTCGGAAAGTGTTTTCAATCCTTCTGTTGTCGTAGTCGGAGGTTCATTACTTATTATTACTTTGTTTACTTGTTTGATTTTAATGTGACAGAGTCAGGGATTCACAGAACTACACTGCCACCTGGCGGCCATAGAGTACAATATTCACACAAGTCAGACAATTAAAGAATTTAATAAATATGAACAAATATTACAGATGGAAGATGAAAACAGGAGCTCATACCGGCGGGTCTGCGATTTTCTTGTGTTCTGATTTGTCTCTGAGGTCCAGTCCGGCTCATCTTCAGTCTGTATTTGGGAAAAATAAATAAATAAAGTTTTATTGATTGTGTTTCCTCAGGATCCAAGATGGTATTTTTGGTTCTGCTCCAAGGGCAGTGATGGATGGAGACACAGAGACAGAGGAGGACGACAAAGATGTCAACACTAGGAAGGTAAAAAGAACTCTTCACCTTATCATCATTATAAACCAATTATATATTATAAACTAATTAATACAAAATCTATTGCAAAGCACAAACATAAACACCAGAGTCTCACATCAGGTCTATAAGTAAAATGTCTTTTACTTTAAAACAGATATTTCGTACAATTCCTGGATCCGACTCATTCATTGAATTTGCTCCAAATATAAACGAGTTCTTCCCTCAGACAAGTTTTTAATAAAGTCAGTTGTGTAAACTGCTTCAGACTAAACATTCAGAAAAACAGATGAGAACTTAACTACCTTGACAAGTGAAACTCCTGGGAATCTCCCTCCTTGTCCACCAGGTGGAGCTGTGTGAGGCTCTGAGGAGCAGCGTGGACGCTCTGCGGCAGGAGAAGGAGGCGCTGAGCGAGGAGCAGAAGCATCACCAGGAGCTGGGGGCGAGCGTGGAGGCGTTGGTGCAGGAACGCCTAAAAACCAACGAGAGGGACAAGTACAGCATGTTCATCGGTACAGCACCACACCGTCACTAATAATACTGCAGCTCCCATGATGCCTTGCTGCTAGTAGAGACTGAGATGTTGTGTTTGCAGGAGATCTGGAGAAAATCGTGAACCTGCTGTTGTCGCTGTGCAGTCGACTGTCGAGGATCGACAGGTCGCTGGTCGCCCTGCAGAGGGAGGAGCTAACGCAGGAGGAAACAGCAGAGGAGCGGGTGAGACAGGACGACGCTCACCTGTCTAACGTTCACGACTTTACCTGTCTGACATATACATGAGTTCAACTGAGCTCCATGACTCGTGAAACCATTTGGCTCTGTGGTGGCGCCACCCAGAGGCAAAACTAATTTGGTTTTCTGTTTCGTCCCATTGTGAACACGATATCTTAAAAATGCTTCAAGGGAGTTTTTTCAAATTCCACAATAATGTTCGATTTGACTCAAAGATGAACTGATTATATTTGGTCACTATGACCTCAAACCCTTTTTGTTTATCTGAAGAACTGAATGAATGGTTAGATTTCAGTGTCAAAGGTCATGAAAACTTATGAGTCTGAAGAAAATGAGACAACTGATAATTTTATGAGTTCATTCTTTAACATTTTGATTAAACGTTGGTTAAAAGTTGTAGTTTCCATTGAGATTTAAATAAGTTTCAAAGTATAAATACCTGTTTTGAATCAACTGTTGAAACCTCGTCTCCTCCTCTTCGTCAGGATTCCCTCCATCACAAACGCTCTCTGCTCCTCCGTCAAACCGAAGACGCCTGGGAGCTGAAGGAGAACCTGGACCGGCGGCAGCGGGTCGTCCACGCCATCCTGTCCGGCTACCTCACCGAACCACAGCTCCAGGACTACCGGCTCTTCGTCAGCACCAAACCCTCGCTTCTGATTCGCCGACGGCACTTAGAGGACCTCATACGACAGGAGGAGGAGCAGCTGACGCGGCTCGCAGAGAGCCTGCCCGTGGAGGTGGCGCAGGCTCGCGGCTGGTCGAGGGCCTCCCCCTTCCTGCTGCAAGGCCCCACGACCTGTTCCTCTTTGTTTCCACCACTGCTGCCAGGCCCCGCCCACTCCGTCAGGCCCACCACCGTGACGTCACTGTGACGTCATGGCGATGCCACTGCTGCAGGTGGCAGTGGAGGACAGGAAATGATGAAGATTCCTTAAAAACTCTGAAAGTGTCACATGAAGGAGAAAAACCCGAGGCAGGTTCAGTTCACACTGAAGAAGCTCTGCAGGATTCAAACTGTTCACGGCCTCGTCACCATTCACACCTCAACGTCAGCCTGGACTCAAACCAACTGCTGTCAATGTTTCTGAAGCTGTTTTCAGATGTGAACCACCGACGTGAGAACAAATGTCTGCGTCAGCCTCTCGTAAAATGTCAGAATCCATACAACAGCAAAATGTCCGGAACATTCAAAGTGAGTGAGCGGACGTGTTGATGGAAGAACACAAATCTTAATTCTCCATGAACAAACATGACAGCTGAGTCAGCAGCTTCTTCTTCCAACATCTTCTCTACAGAATTTATACGTCATGTCCCGCCTCCTGCTGCTCTACAGGCTCCTCCCCTCGCCTGAACGTTCACACACACTGACACTACACAACATGTCAACTCAACATGCGACACAGCTCACGTCTCGAAACAGCTTCTTTGTTCTCAGATTTGAAGACAGCTCATCGTCAAACGCTTTAAAGGACAATTCTAGTGTCACAGCTAAAAATCTTCTGATCAAAATACACGACATGTCTGAAGAGTCTGAACTAAAATAAATCATTTCTGATCCTTCCAACAGGTAAACATACATCCTTCAGAACTAGAATCACTCTGAGCTCGTGACTCCTCTGAGCCGATGCACGTGCAGGTTAAAAAGAAGCATGAATGGTAGAAACGCTTCCGTCTCTAGAATTGTCCTTAAACGACCCTGACGCTTCTTTACGGAGCGTCAAACATTCAGACGTTAGTGGGCGTGTCCTCGCCCACAGATCTGAACTGTTCTCGTCACTGTCACAGCATCACTGCAGCTCGTAGCACTTTCAGCTCTTTGACTGGTTCACGATGAATTTACACTGAACCAGAAACTTTTTCCCTCTTTTCAAACATTTGACGTCCCAATAAATCATATTCCTGATTCATAGAGTTTTAATTTCTGGATACGAAGTTTAGTTTGGACCAAAAACATTTTACTTTCCTGATGTTACATGAAAATTATCAAACAGAAAAATACCAAACGAGAATTTTATATATGATGAAATTTTCTTAAAATTTGAGAAGACACTATTTAAACTGGTAAAATATCTAAACACAGTTGATCATTGAGAAACAGAAACTACAAACACATGATACAAACATGAGACGAGCGTCATACAAAATGAAATTCTTTATTTAAGCTGAAGGTTTTCATTCAGTCAAAGAATCAGCACTTTGTCTCAGGACGGAAACTGGAGGGAGGAGAATTTAACATTTGTGGCTTCACATCGACTTCAACTAGGACCTATGAATTAAAATAATGA